AGCAGCAAATCAGCATATTAGAATGATTTCTGAAAATCATGTGACACTGAAAACTGGAGTAATGATACTGAAAATACAGCTTTGATCATAGACATAACTTACAGTTTACAATATATTCCCAAAGAAAACAGCTATTTGAAATTGTAAAAAATATTTCACAATTTTACAGATTTGAACTGTAGTAATTTTAACATTACAGTAAAAAGCACATAATATTACAGTAATAACGCCTTCCATTCTTGCTGGTTTGCAATAGCATAATGATGACATATCATGTCTGTGCAGAGATACGAAAATATATACATTAGCAGACAGGTAGGACAGCATATCGTAGCCCTTGGACTGCGATATTTTGTGGTCATATAATATAAAAATACATTTAGACCATGTAACTTAATGGTTGCTATCAGGATGTGAAGAGACTTTCAACCAGCATAACAAGAAATGTCTTTGAACCGAATCACCTACCCTGCCTTTAAAACAGGTTTCACCTCATATGTCTTTCATTTGGCGACCAGTTTTTCTAGTGGGACATTACTTACATGTTACAGGTAAAACCTAGGCTAACATTCTTTTGTATTATTATAAAACAAACCTACTATAATAGGTTGACAAATCCTGAATCGTCTTTCAGTTCAGTAAAAGGTTACTGAAGACTGATAAGTGAATGATGCTGAAAATTCAGCTTTTCATCACGGGAATAAATTACATTTTAAAAGATATTCACATAGAAATCAGTTATTTGAAATTGTAATAATATTTCACAATTTTACTGTAATTGAATAAATGCAGCCTTGGTGAACAGAAGAGACTTCATTCATTAAAAACATTCTAAAATCTTGCCGACCTCACACTAATGCACGCTTTAGTTTACACAGATGAATGGATGGTGATGGTGTTATTAATGGCTCTGGTGTTTTGTGGTCTAGGGTCCAGGCTCCTATATAATGAACTACTTCATGTTCACGTTTTGGGCGCTGTCCTTCGCCTTCCTGGCCGTGTCTCTGGTGAAGGTGTTTGCGCCGTACGCCTGCGGCTCTGGAATACCTGAGGTAGTAATCCTCAACATCACCTATATAGATCAGACATACTCTTCAAACAGGTTTTACCTCATATTGGGATTTTTGGGCAACCAGTTTTGCTTGTCGGACATTATTGACATATTAATCATTTGCATACTATTATTAAAAAAGGTTGCCAAATGCTATATTAAATGAATAGCTGTTTAAACTGTCTTTGAGTTTTAAGGTCTTTCCTTGAACTGGACAGATAAAAGCGTTACATGATCATGCTTTATTTGCACTTTATGCATAATTTTATGTCGCTGTAAATATTTGGCGAGTGTTTGTTATATGCAGCAGATTACTGCATGTTGTTAAGAGCTCAGGTGACCGATGAGAATGAGCTCTAGCTCTGATTTTCTCTCTGTTTCTATGGTTACCAAAAGTGTTATGCAAGTTGTACAAGAGCTCAGTTTAGTCCAGAGCGGTTTTGTTCTGTCAAACAAAGAGAAGCCACTTTTCATGAATACTGTACGATGTTTATGACAAAAGGTGTGTAGCCTTCAGAAAATGTTACTTGTCCACATCAGGAGCTTGCTTTTTTATATTTATTCAATTATTTCAAACCATATAAAATAATTATATTTTTAATTTATATTTATAATATTTGTAATCTACATATATACAGGGTATATCAGGGGTGCATAATTGATAAAAAAAAAGATATTATTATTATATATATTTTTTTAAACACTGCAGCAAAGTGGGAAGTTTAACCTAAATTAAGCTCAATCGAAGTGTTGATTTGTATTTGGTCAAAGACGAAAAAGGATTTAAGCATAAAAACAATGTGCAATACTGCTTTAAATTGTTGTTTTTCCCAAATTTTTATATTATTATATATATTTTTTTAAACACTGCAGCAAAGTGGGAAGTTTAACCTAAATTAAGCTCAATCGAAGTGTTGATTTGTATTTGGTCAAAGACGAAAAAGTAGGACAGCATATCGTAGCCCTTGGACTGCGATATTTTGTGGTCATATAATATAAAAATACATTTAGACCATGTAACTTAATGGTTGCTATCAGGATGTGAAGAGACTTTCAACCAGCATAACAAGAAATGTCTTTGAACCGAATCACCTACCCTGCCTTTAAAACAGGTTTCACCTCATATGTCTTTCATTTGGCGACCAGTTTTTCTAGTGGGACATTACTTACATGTTACAGGTAAAACCTAGGCTAACATTCTTTTGTATTATTATAAAACAAACCTACTATAATAGGTTGACAAATCCTGAATTGTCTTTCAGTTCAGTAAAAGGTTACTGAAGACTGATAAGTGAATGATGCTGAAAATTCAGCTTTTCGTCACGGGAATAAATTACATTTTAAAAGATATTCACATAGAAATCAGTTATTTGAAATTGTAATAATATTTCACAATTTTACTGTAATTGAATAAATGCAGCCTTGGTGAACAGAAGAGACTTCATTCATTAAAAACATTCTAAAATCTTGCCGACCTCACACTAATGCACGCTTTAGTTTACACAGATGAATGGATGGTGATGGTGTTATTAATGGCTCTGGTGTTTTGTGGTCTAGGGTCCAGGCTCCTATATAATGAACTACTTCATGTTCACGTTTTGGGCGCTGTCCTTCGCCTTCCTGGCCGTGTCTCTGGTGAAGGTGTTTGCGCCGTACGCCTGCGGCTCTGGAATACCTGAGGTAGTAATCCTCAACATCACCTATATAGATCAGACATACTCTTCAAACAGGTTTTACCTCATATTGGGATTTTTGGGCAACCAGTTTTGCTTGTCGGACATTATTGACATATTAATCATTTGCATACTATTATTAAAAAAGGTTGCCAAATGCTATATTAAATGAATAGCTGTTTAAACTGTCTTTGAGTTTTAAGGTCTTTCCTTGAACTGGACAGATAAAAGCATTACATGATCATGCTTTATTTGCACTTTATGCATAATTTTATGTCGCTGTAAATATTTGGCGAGTGTTTGTTATATGCAGCAGATTACTGCATGTTGTTAAGAGCTCAGGTGACCGATGAGAATGAGCTCTAGCTCTGATTTTCTCTCTGTTTCTATGGTTACCAAAAGTGTTATGCAAGTTGTACAAGAGCTCAGTTTAGTCCAGAGCGGTTTTGTTCTGTCAAACAAAGAGAAGCCACTTTTCATGAATACTGTACGATGTTTATGACAAAAGGTGTGTAGCCTTCAGAAAATGTTACTTGTCCACATCAGGAGCTTGCTTTTTTATATTTATTCAATTATTTCAAACCATATAAAATAATTATATTTTTAATTTATATTTATAATATTTGTAATCTACATATATACAGGGTATATCAGGGGTGCATAATTGATAAAAAAAAATATATTATTATATATATTTTTTTAAACACTGCAGCAAAGTGGGAAGTTTAACCTAAATTAAGCTCAATCGAAGTGTTGATTTGTATTTGGTCAAAGACGAAAAAGGATTTAAGCATAAAAACAATGTGCAATACTGCTTTAAATTGTTGAAAAAAGTTTTCTGTTTAATTGCAATTTTGTTTTTGTTTTTCCAAGCAAAAAATAAATATCATACATTATTCCCTGATTTACAAAACAGACCCACTAAAATGTCATTCAGTGTAACATTATTGTCAGTCATATTTACAACAAAAATCAATGTATGACATATTAAAGGACTAATTACTTTCACCCCAAATACTAATTAGTTGTAGTTTTTAGGGGCTGGGCAAAAAAAAAAAATTTTTTCGATTAATCGTTTTTTTAAATGACGTCGATTCGATATCGATTCTCAAAAGCCGCAAATCGATCTTTTCCGGGATTTATTTCAGCACACATTTAAAACAAGATCTGATTAACGTGAATCTTATCAGTAGTCTTCTCCACTAGATGTCACCCTTATTTACCTTGCGCGATGTTACACCAGAAAGCCTGTTATTCATTCAGCGCTTATCATGGCCATATGCATGATTCACAATGCTCAGGTGAAGTGCTATAGTAATACTATAAATCTGAGGATGCATCTGACTATTTAGCAGTCTGAAGACTCAATGCTACTACTGCTAATAAATTTTAATAAATCTTTATTTTTAAAGGAATAATCACATCTGTTTCATTTTTAATTTTAACAGTAAACCTCTGTTGTGCAGCACTTTGTTTGCCAAAAAAATAAAAGGGTTTAATTTTCATTATAAATTAAATTAATGTTTTATGCTTTCATCATTTTATAGGGCCCTACTATTGTTTAAAAAAGATAGAATAAGTTTAAAATACAGGCATGTGGTTCTTAATTTCTTTTTATTAATTCACTATTTGTAAACTGATGTTTACTGTTAATTTTTTAGAAATATCAATAGCATTTGTATTAAAATTATATTCACTGAATGTAATAAAAAAAAATCGAGAATCGAATCGAGAGCTTGCAAATCGAAATCGAATCGGCATATCTGAATCGATACCCAGCCCTAGTAATTTTACATTTTTTAAATTTGCCACTATCCTAGGTTTTGCCCATTTGTCAGTAAGAATTTTTTTACTAATTTAAAACACAATAAAATTTTATATGCTCCCTTATTCTTTTATATATTTTAATGTGTAAGTCAGAATAAGCATGTTGTTTGAATATTTACATAAATATTGTGTTACACTGAATGACAATGTAACATTATTTCAACCAAATTTTGACATTGTATTCTCCAAAAACTTATTTGAAACCTTAAAAGTAGACACTTTACTTACATTTAATGTGCTTTCTATGGACATATAATCACTTTTGTAAATTTCTTTTGATGCGGACAATGTTTACGTCTTTAACCCATTTAATGATAAACGTGTATGTCCTGTGAATTAGAGAAAAGTATTTGTATGATCATTTTTCTTAATTTCAGTAAAGGTTCAGCTCGACAGAGGTAGTCAACGCAATATTTGTAAAAAATAAAAATGTAGGGGAAATCATTAGGGTTATTAACTCAAGCTAAAACCATAATGAAAAAAAAAAGAATCTTGAAATAAAATAAACTGAATTTTTTTTAAAGATAAAAAACAAAACATATATAGGCATATTAAAAAAATATATATATAGTAATAAAATGACAAAATTACTAAAACTTTAACTTCAATTTAAATGAAAACAGAATATATATATATATATATATATATATATATATATATATATATATATATATATATATATATATA